ACTATTTTCTCTTCTCTCATTTGTTTAGTCTTCAAAAACGAATTTTATATGACTCGTGATACATGCTCTTTTTTAGAGTTATCAATAAAATCAATCGATAAATCCTACCTTAAAAACAAATAGCAATATAAAGATGTTGAAAAGAACTACTAACCTATAAAATGACCACAAGCAATAACACTGTATCTCATAACCAAAGTCAAGTGATAAATTAACTCGACTAATCAACTCGAAATATTTCTATAGTGAAAATATCATGAGAGTATCAAATTACAAATATAAATAGTATGAATCATTTCTTACTATCACTGGAATACAATAGTTATATGAAACGAAATCAACAAACAATAAATAACAAAGCTGGAGAAGTTTGTCAACTGTATCCATCCACTAGATTATTGCAATTTGATCAGGTAGTTCGATCATAACGCACATAATACCGTGAAGAACTTTTAAATTTAATATGAATAGAAAAATCAAACTTGTCTATATAAAAACCATCGTAATCAAGAATCGATCCAGTCAATCATTGTTATTGATAATCTACAAAGCGATACAAATTGGCTAGGTAATTTCCCTGTTTCAGAATATGTGTATTTGATTATAACGGACATGAATATACGTAATAAACGGAGATAAAAGCTGATAATTTTAAGAAACACTTAACTCAATCGTAGCTATTACCTTTACACGGTAATCCGAATTAGTTGTGGCGATGACTTAATTGAGCTACACTGTCTGGAATACTTGTTACTTGACGTTTTAACTTGACAGGATGATCGTTTGGATAGAAATAACACCAGAATAAGCGAAACCTAGATCCAAGGGTCATTATACTATTATTGTGGTGCATGCTACTTATGTTGACAGACATAAGTAGTATGTAACACTAATTAGAAGTGGAATATCTGGCAGCAGAAGATTGAATTGAAGAGAACAGGGATGTACAGTGAGCAATTGTAATAACAACAGAGTTGAAAGAATCATGGAGCACATAAAAGACAACTGAAGGAAGGCGTGCAAATAATGTATTTAATGTTTGGTTTTATTATTCTATGAACGCATTGCGATTTTGAACTGAATCATAAACTGGTTGTCAACACAATCTTCGTGCACTACACTATTGTATTTGGGGGGTATTGACAATAAGGTATCCCTTACAGATAACCAATACCCACTCCACTTCCACTATGAATTCTTTCCATCTGTCTTCCACACGTACCATCAGTGTTCACGATTCTGGATCAAGAAATATCACTTTGTCCACTGAGACAGCTATCCAAACTACACTTGAGAGCCTTATGTTTGAGTCCTATTTTAAATCAAACAACAGGTTTCTTTAGCTGAGATTCTGAATCGACGTTTGCTTCGCTCCATATATCCAAATGCAGGATATAACCTTCTTCGATTTACTAAATGTTCTTAACACTGAGCCAGCAATACAAATAGCATGGTGGTAAGATTGATTCACCGTAGAATAGTGGGTAAGTCTTTTCCACAAGTATTAAATCTGCATTCGAGTTTCATGATGAAAGTCGACCATCTATCATCAAAGTCACATTGTGTTAGGAATTACCAAGGATGTATTACATAGTATAGGGACAAATAAAATTATCAGTTCTAGATTACAAGAAAACAATCAAAATCCTCTATTCTTTTATTGACTGAGAGATGGCTAAATGTAAGATGTTTAATCCCCACTTTTTCTGTTACCCAAAATATTTTATCGAATGATCCAACTATTGACACCAATAGTAAAATATCGACGCGTTCATTTTCTGGGTAACAAACTTAATAACAATTGTTTGGACAGTGTGTTACGATTTAATTAGTGACCACACTATCGATTACGGTAGTTGAAATATATTTTAAATTAACTCGTTTGGTGGCTTCTAAAACCATACAATGTATGTTAACACCAATTAAAATGATTATTTTTATTAATTAGAAACGTTGGTTATATCCCAACAATGAAATATTTACGTTATAATTCAGATTATCACAGGATTATAATGAGCATATGACTGATTGAGTATGAGTAACTCAGATTTAGCTGAAACAATTTTGAGGCAACTGATATACAAAGTAAAACTTGGACAGTAATATAAAATAATAAGATGCTTAATTTACAATATTTGACAATTTATATATTAGTTGGACATCCTAACAAAGGACAAATCAGTGTATTCGAGTCGAACATTGGACGAAGCCTGATAAGAAAACTAATCAAATGCGTAACCAAAAAAATACTGCATGGAGTGAAGTTATAAGTTTACTACCACCATTTTGTTCAAATCATTTCTACAGTTGTCCTGTGAACAGCACAATTCACCATGTTATCTGTTCATATATAGGGTAAGCTACAACAAAAATTCACACAGTAGTGGTTTAAACATTAACTAGTTACCACAAGGACTGATGGTCCTGGACTCGAAACTCTGTGGGATATCCAGAGTTGGAAAGTCGCACAGTAAGATAAAACGATTATTCAGTACTTCATGGTTTTCAATGGATATTTAACTAAGATCACTTCATGATGTAAACCATGATGACCAATAGTCTCCATAGATCTTCTACACTAATAATAGTTATACAGCTTAGTGGTAATTTCAAGAGGTAAGTCCCAACGTTCTAATGAAAAAACGTGACCAGTAGAGTTGAAGCACGTCAGTTACCCATCGATGACAACGGAGAACAATTACACAATATTGTGAGTTGATTGCAGTTAGAAACCTAAAACATTGAATGCCGACTCACTGGTCTTAACGTTAAATCCTTCACACAAGGATTAAATATCCTGGGTTCAACCCCCGAAGGCTTTGTGAGTGCGCATTGTTGAGAAGTTCGATACAAAGACGAAACCAGTGTACAGCATCTGCTGGTTTCCAACAGTTGTTTAACTAGGGTGTAGACTGTAAGTCAGTAGAAACTGTTGAACAAAAATCAATTACAGAAAGAAAACAACGGATAATATTTATAATTACTATCAAAGAACTAACTAGTAAACAAACGAACAAAAAAACGCAACTAACCAAAGGAATAAAAAGGAACTATTCATGTACACATACATAGTTTGTAAATGGTCAGAAATAAGGTTACTTAAGTATTATTAGTGACAGTGGCCGTCATAAGTTTTGCTTTTTCACTGATAAACTTCAGAAACAAGAAAGTGACACAGAGAAAAAGGAAGAAATTGAAGTAATCTGACAACGGACAATAAAACAAATATACATACAGTTCGAACAAAGAAAGGTAGGAGAGTAACTATTAGAAAAAAATATCCCGGAGAAAAACGAATATCACCAACTAAATTAACAAATGAGAATGCGTTACAGACAAGATTTATTAACAAACAAGTGGTGTGAGAAATGTATTAAAGTGTACGTTTTTGTTTATCATTAAGTATGACGTCCGAAGGGATTATTAAGGTTGTTATAGTAGGATAACAAAGTAAATTATACATACATTTTCATTTGCACTGATGCGAATAAGTCTAGCAAGTGTATTATTGATCACATAATACTAATAATTCAGTACCGGTTCAAGACATAAGAACTGGTTATTTTGGTCAATATGAATAAGATCACATCACTTCATTTTGTGTGTTACTTACTGCTACTCTTTTTATTATACCTGCTACGACTATACTTGATTTAAAACAGCAGTTACTAGTAAGTTAGTTGATGTGAAGGAGGCTAGACATAGGAAAAAGGCATTCATAGTAGAGAGAATATGCTTAAATGGATAACAAAGTTCCAATGATTTCTTAAGAAGATATAATAGAAACGAATAAAAACTGAAAAGAAAAAAATAAGAGACGTAGATTAATACGTTCAAAACACTAAAAACTGGTTTTCATATGTGCATGTTCGGCAGTAGCAGTAGTATTAGTGGTAAAGGAAAAATTGTAGGAGTTAGAAACTAACGACAAGTGTGTGTGGAGGTGGGAGGGAAATGCTAAGCCACAGAAACTGATTTTCAAAAATTATGAAATATAGCACAGCATATTGTGAATGAACAGGTACTTCAAAATGACGGTAAAATTAAAACCTATGTAACGTTTTGGATATTTATCTTGTTATTTGTTCAACTATTGACTCATATCATTATCATCATTTGGTAAGATGCAGTACAAAGCACAGAACTAAGGGTATGCAGTATAGTATCCCGTATATCAAATGTGATTGCGGCAGGAGTGGGTAGGTGTATGTACGGAGAAATGTAAACAAACATTTTTATTATCATCAGTTAATAAGTATCGTGTTGTTTATCATACACGAAAGAAAGAAAAAAACAACCTAGGAGGAATCGAAAGGTTACATTTCTTTACAAGTAGTTTAGTTTACGACATGTGTGTTTATAGTGAAAATATGTCAACCAGGACAAAACTGATCGAAAGACAAGTAGAAACTATTTTATAGACAAAATACAGTTCCCAATTGTTGTATCATCTCGCTGAATGCGTTAATTATAATAAAACAGTGAAGAAGCATATGATACACCCACACACAAAACACATGAGGAGAGTAGTTGTTATTTGAGCAGTGGACGCATTCATTAATATGGACAAGAAAATATCTCAAAAAACAGAAACCTCATCAGGTATTGAGTAAATATTTGTAACCATAATCTTTTTATTCTCAGAAGATTTGTGCATATAATTGAAGTAGTGTTTAAACTCGTTGTAAGTAATATGTGCCTGTGCCGCCTATACACAAACAGTAAACGTAATAAGCAACCAAATAGTAAATACATGTGCTTGAGTTAATTTTAATTTATCAATGAAAATAGTGTGCATTATTTGTGTAAAAGAAAATTAAGGAACAATAGTTATATATATATAAGCATAAAAGTTTGAAATTGTATTGAAATATGATGAAATACCATTTGTTAGTAAGTTTGTTATTTATCGTTCTTTCCTCCAGACAGTTCTATGCTACGCACATATTATGATAAGCATTTATGGAAGGATGTATTATTATTGACAACGAACATAGTGATCATGGTATACGAGCAGGCAATCTGGCTTGATTGCCAGCAGTGTTTACACCTTGATATTGATATTTAGCCTTCTTTTCAGATGGTTTAAGTATCTAAAGTAAATAGATAGCCATAAGGCAAGCAAAAGAAAAACAGAGAATAGTAAACTAATCAGTCAATCCCATCGAAACGATAATAATATACATTATGCTTTACACTAAAGGTGAAGCTTAATTAGACAGCCGTTAAAACCGGTGAGTACTGAACATTTATTTCCTGCTAGCCTAGTACTAGGACGACACTACTTAGCAGTGTGCAACCACGACCTAATTAAGGATCAATCTCAGTAGTTACCTTCAGATCACAAAGTTAGCATCCGATTGTTTACCCTCTTTACTGCTGCTAATAATAATGAACTGACCACTGACTAATCCCGAGATGTATTTCCCGGAGTACTAGTGATGAGCTGTGACTAGTGTTCAGCCATATCAAGTGCGAAGTAGTTGCCTACTAATATCATGAATCAACTGGAGTTAGGAATGTTAATCAGTGGATACCAGTTCAGTGGTCCAAATGTAAAGCCCCATCAGAAAGAATCGAAGTTCCCAGTTTCGAACTCAAGCAAGGTTGTGTCTCTTGGTTTTTAATATATATATATATAATGAAAACTCGATTTCTAGAATATAAAAGAAAATAATTGTTAATCAGAATATTATTTGTAGCCTTAAGGTCAGAAATAACTACATAATAAATAATCAATTAACATTACTGTGGTAAGTTTCATATCACTTCATATTGAATAATACAATAACTAATATTTATCTCATGTTGACGAAGCTATCCTAGAAAGGCCAACTTTCTTCATGTATCTAAAGTCAGTCGTACATGGAATGATAAAGTCACGGACTGGTTGATCAAGCTTTATGTGGGGAAGGCTCCCAGTAAACTCAAGAAAGTTCTGGAATAACCCAAGGCATTCCATCCAATCATCGTTTGGAAGAACATTCAAGAATTTCGACGTGTAGCCTCCAGACTGGATACATGCTACAAACCACTACTTGAGGGTTGGGTGATTGTAATGATGGTTTCGCCTTCACTAAAAACTATAGATACCCGAGTGTTTTGCACCATATTTGACACTGGTTGGAATAAGATTTCTTTCCACTCATCTTTTGTCTTCTAACTTGACACTCGTAGGGTCTAAGCGTTCGAGTGATTAGGTTGTACATGGCATATCAAGACTTCAAGTTAGAGATATAACACTTGATTATAATTAATTGTTACTTCAGAATTTTATAACGGGATATTTGGCGATTTACGGGTGATGCGATGATCATGTTTCAATAGGTGGATTTCACAGCCTCAGTGACTAACTTATACACACATAGGTTGGACAGGACAAAACGAGTCCCTCTGATCACTGAAGAGATCCCATCAGTAATTAAACTATCGAGGCTAATATCGGTGAAGTGTTACAGATTTTCTTAACTACACCTGTATAATTGAGATAGCACATCATACAGTTACCAGAACCTACACTATGCGAAATCCGACCAGGACATCTTATCTTAATTTTCTAATCGATAAAACTTAATGAAATATTATATATTCTACAAATTATCTTTTATATGAAAATTTCGAAACCATTTTATTTTTTAAATGTTAATTAGGTAGTAAGTTCGATAACTTACTGGTCAGTGTATGAATATAAACTTTTGGTGACTAAATTCAGTATACAATTTATTCAACAACTTACAGATTTATAAACTCGACTTTGAGAGGTTAATTTCAGAAAATAATAACTTACGATATGATTTCGTGTCCAAACCAAAAAAGAGTGGTAGGGCTTTAACATTTGAACCTTCAATTAATTGGTTTAAAGTCAAGTTTTTTTTGTTTAACCACCTAAGTAGTCAACGTGAAGGGCACTACCACACTTACCAAAGCAATTTTTGCAGCAGCTCATACAAACTTTAATTGATAACACGTAGATAAAAAAACCAAACGATGTTGCTATCCGAATATCTAATAATGCTACTATCTTTATAATATGGGGTTTAAGCTGAATTTGGACAAGATCAGTATTCTCTTGATAAGTAACATTAAAGTATAAGTACATAGAGATGGATTGAGAAAGTCCACAGGATAAGTTAACATATATTATTATTATAAGTTTATATTATCATAATGTGAATAATCAATAAGGCACTATATATAACACGTGTCCACGAACGAAACATCCACTTGTAATACTAATTGCAGCAAACAAATATATTTATCATCATCTTGCCCATTTGAAAAAACAACAACAAAATATTAAACAAACGATTATTGTTTTGCTAAACAGAGATCAATAGCACACATAAGCGCGTATGTATACACCAGAGGCACTGCACTACAATCAGATGACTGAATGCAAAATTAGTGTGATATATATAAAGTATGCACATATTAGTGCCACGTAAGGAATAAGATGAAAGATTTTCTACAAACCTTTAAGATTAGTAATCTATGTTGGCACAAAAATCCACACACAAATTGACTATGTCCTAGTTTTGTAATCAGGCAGAGGAATAAAGAAAAAACATACCTGTTTACATATATAAGTATTGATTGAGTAAGGAGAAATGGATATATACACGAAATGATGGTGAAAAATAAGAACATTTATACTGGTGGTTAACATGGTGATATTTTAGTTAAGAGTATACTATCTCCATACCTATATTTTCAGTATAATCGGCTAACAAATAAATGTACAAGTATAATAAGTCCATTACATGAAATTAAATTGATATTATAAATGATTGAGTCAGTCAATCAATCATAATCAACGCAGAATCTAGCACAGATGTGAAATGCTTCAACTTGACATACCACACTAGAAAGATGACATGAAACTAACAAGATAAATTACAAAATAGTCGAAATAATGGAATAGCAATGATAATAAGAAAAACTAAGTATTCAGAATATATAGTTCTCGGGAAGACAGGATAAAAAGGTGTGATATGAAGGAACACTGGAACTAAAGACGTAGAGGGAATGGATCTGGTTCATTATGATCGATTCTCAGATACGTTAACCAAAGTCTTCAACCATTGGTTACAATAACCACGCAGACACCAATTAAGTGGTTTGGTATCAACGAACATAGCTCAGACCAACAGTCGATGACTTCATGGATTAATGCCATGTTTTGACTTGCTTGCCCTTAGCTTCCAACTTACTCCTAAAGTAGCATATTTGCCTATCATCAAAAATATGTACACGGTACACCAGTTTGTTTTATATTGGCTTCAAAGTTATAAAAGGTACATGAGATATATGTAGGTTAACCCATTATATTCAAACACAGATGAAATTGCTTCTAGGCACTGGTCTAGTGTGATAAATCTATTGAGTGAGATTAAGAGTAAATGTAGAATATTATTAAACAAAGTTGATAAATCGGTTAGTGAGACCGTACATCTCCAGATTTAATAGGTTATTACATGAGATACACCACCGATCGATGACAGAAAAGTGCTGCGCTGCTAAATTCAGAATGAAACGGGAAAATGCTACAGGAGGCAACATAACAAATAGCATTCCTTATCATTTGGTTTCTTTTCTGCGGATTATTACCAATTCTATGTGTCAAGGTATTAATAATACAATGACAGATTTTAAGGATTGGTTTACCATCCAATAAAAATCATATGCTTATATTCTTTTCAATTTTCCTAAAAAGGCTGAACTGAATAAAATAAACTCATTAGTCAGGCACGTTGGTGTGTATGAGGCATACTCTAAAAGTGAAGGCTAATGATACTACCCGGTTGCCCAGACCGCATTAAATGTAGTGGAGTTCATACCTAGGACTTAGTGGCCGAAAGTCGAATATCTTGATCACTAAGCCACCACTTCACAATCTGCCTTAGTTGTAAACTTAACAAGTAACTTAGATAGTAAGAAATATGAACATCTATTCTATATCTTATATTTAACGAGTGACAGAATCAGTACCTAGTATGTGAGTCTATTTCTTATGTAAGTATAATGTGGACTAACCAAGTTGACTGTATAGTATGTTCATTCAGTAGCATACCATCGGGATTACTTATGAAACTTCTAAGATTTGCCGGATATTCTAAAAGATGGGTTCTTCACAATTGTATTTACATTATTTGCCATCTGTATAAGGCTCATTTGAGTTACCTTTATGTAACATTATTTGAAACTATTTCTTTATTGTAAATGATTCAGAATATATATATTAGTCGAGGTTAGGTGACAAAACACTCATTTTTCCAGTTAAACAGAATTCAAAAACAAGACAAATTATTACTTTTACGATTATGAGATACTGTAGTGTCAGTTATTATGGCAAGCCCATATACCTTATTCTAACTTCCGGACATCCTATTTTATTCATTTTACTTGAGCCATATTTTGACCTTGTCAATTATTCGCTTATTAGCCTTGACTGTTTTCACATGAGCGTATATGTGTGTACATTTCATGTCCCATGATTCATCATATGTCTGTAGCTTATTTTGTCTGCCTATAAATACTGAGTAACGCTTAATAAAAATGGAGTTGGCTTCCCAGCCATCTTCCAGTATGTGTCAGAATTGCTTTGTTATGGCTCTCGCTCGCTTAGCATGCGAACGGGCCTCTCAACAATACTATCAGAGTAGTAGTATATGAACAAAAAGATAAAGATACTTACCTGAAATGAACATGTTAAATTCTCATCTACAGACATCATACCACCGGCATTATCAAATTCACCGCAATAATTTGGTGCAGAAAATAAGGTTACTAACTGACGACGACAGAAAAATTCAAAACCATCTTCAACTACTTGATGCGCTCGACAAATTAAATCCATATCATGTCGGTTGAGAAACTTAGTAACTACATCTGGACCGAATGTGAAACTCACACCACGATCATTTTCAGCCCAACCATTAACATCTTTATCAGGATCTGACCATAAAATATCGCATAAAAGTCCTAAAAAAAAGTGCGTAGTACAAAAATTAGAATTAATTAGTTAATGAGTGAAATATGACAGATTAATACATTTCAACAAGATAAATCTTAAAACATTGCTACAGTATGTTAGGACTATCGAGTGATGTTGGAGTTATATGCAGGATACTAGGTATGGATAAGAAACTGGTTGATAAGGCTATGAATCTTTATCAACTGAGGTAGTTAAGAAATGTATCAGGTTTGCTTAACCACAGCCAACCTTAACGTCGGATGCCAGCAGGTGTAGGAGTACGTTGAGAGAGGTGACCAACCCAAGGCGTGGTACCAAACTCACTGTTGAACTGAAACTTTAAGTAAGTATAGACTACTTCAGTAGGGTTCTCGCGATTATCGTAACAAATGTTAGAGATGTGTTGGTGGCATTGCTTAGAACCAGTCACAATAAAATAGACATACTTAAGCTGTCTTAAAATACGTACAATTTCGATTCCGTGAATTCATTTTCTCCTCTGAAATTGTATACTATTTTCTATTATCACTAATACAGTTACCATTTCTACTATTCAGGTGCACATCTTGATGATTACATCTTTCTACACAAACGTGATGTGGCAACTTGAACCGATGCAAATATATTGCTCATGATTGACATAAAGACAAAAACATCATCGCTATTAGCACAAAGCGCTAAAATATCATTTTTAAGTAAACGTTAAAAACTTTATCGAAATATTTCGAACCACTAACTAAAGTCGAACTAAAGTACCAAAAATTCATTTAAGCGTTGTATTATAACTACCAAAAAAGGTATTGGATAATGCAGTTATAAAAAGTAGGAAAAAATCCAAATAGAATGATTTAATAAATCAATAAAGTGCTAAGGAAAATAACTGCTTCACTTATTTAATTCTGTTAATCATAAAAAAAGCAGAACTTGGGCACGTACGTGGATCGCCTGAAGTTCTTACACGATATCACCAGAGAAATATGAATACGAAATTAGTAGAAATAGGAGTATTGGTGATAGTAGAAAACACTATGCATGATTCGAGAACAAAGGTTGAATTCTCTGAATAAAAAGCATAAAAATCTTGAAACTTGAGATCTAGGTATAAACAAAAGAGTGGATTTGTGTCATTCTGACAGATTCTGAACTATGTCGTAAAGCTTGTCCAACCATTGGTCACAAAAATCATATGGATTCAAACCAGGTAGCCTACACCTACCCTATATAGATCAGAAGAACAGTTAATGACTTTATGGACTGACGCCATGCTTCATTTAGGCAGTTCATAGCTTTCTTACAACCTTTTAATGACAGCATTAAGGTAGGCCACAGTTGGGCATATGTAACCCGTATCCTAACTACCCTGGTCTGTTTCATAAAAACTTTCCAACAGTTGGGTGATTATGTGTACCCGGAGGTTTAACGGCTGAGCGAAGATGTAAATCAACCAAAACTAAAGATAACATAATATTATCTTTTTAGTTCCAGAGATTACATTTAGGTTATTTCATGAGTTTTATTTGTCTATCAGTAAGGATTATTTATGAAAACCAGTAATGAAAACAATAATTATTTAGACTGGCTTCAAAACATTTGTTCATTAGAAATCGAACTTTTTCAGTATACAGGTGTGATAAAGAAAAGTATGAGCAAATACTTGACAAAACAAACATCGAAAATAAGTTATATTTGCAAAACTCAACAGGTTAAGCTGAAACATCTAATTGATACTTTGATGTATGGTGATATGTTAAACAGATATGCATTGTTTTTAAATACACTTTGTATTATCAATATTGTAGAACTGTTAGCAGGATATAGATTGGATTAAAGCAGGTTCCATGAAGAATAGTGTTGAGTCACGCTAACTGGCCATTTCTTAGCCAATCAGCCGTAGCAGATAAATGGAGAACTCTAGAATCTTCTCGTGTAGAATAATAAATATACTAACGTTTTTGGTACTGTGATTGTTACTCCCATTAAACTAGGGTTATTTGAAATATAATTTCTCCCCTGATCAAATTTATTCGGATTTGGCGACTAGTCAAGTGAAGTAGTGTCCGAAGGAAGCTAAGCAATAAGACTAGCTAGGTTGTATGAAAAGAGATATTAACAAGAATTATTGAAAACTTCAATTTACAAAAAAAGATAACTAGTCTGTTTCAAAAACAAAATAATGTTCATCTGCACCTGACTTATAGCACCGCTAACACTCATATAATCAAGTGGAAAAAATCAACAACAAATCAGTAATGGTTCTACCACTACTACTCTACATGCATAACACATAATAACAAACCTGTATCAGGAATATCTGACGGTCTCATGATACGTCGTATTTGATCCATATTTTGCAAATCTGGAGATAATCCTGACACCATGCAGTGTGATGTAAGGGAGACAAAGATGAAGAAAAATATATATAACGTATTAACTAAACAGAATCAGTTAGATAAAAAACAAACTAACGAATTGAATAAACGATAAAAAGAATAGATAATATTTAAAAAGGTGAACTTATCGGGTTAATAAAACAATATCTCAAGTGTCTGAGAATTTCGATATAGAGGACAACCAGTCGTCTATGAATACCTTTGTAAATTTTCATAGACGCCGAGAAACACTTAAGTTATATTTGGTCAACGAATACTTATGGTAAAATTCTGAAAGGAAGTACTCTGAGTTCTTCCTTAATCTAACTTAAAAATTATCACTACATCCAGCATAATTTTTAATTATCAATAGAGTTATGGAGATTGTCAAACTCTATCGATATCACAAACCGATCAAACTTAAGTAACCACTGAAAACCCGAAAGTACTGAGGGGTCGTTTCGTACTGACAGGGGAAATCTCAGCAGTACGCATGCACACCATAGTAGTCGAATTTCTTCGAGATAATTCTTATGCCTCGTATATCACTCGTCTTGATAACCCTCAGTAGATAACTCCTAAAGGTCTAAAAAATTTAACAAGACAACAGAGAGTCATGAACACGTTTATTCTTGCACAGCACCCACTACTAACTGCCTTCTCGCGGCAGGGGTGTGGTTTACGAAATTGAGAGGACGGAAAGCGAATGTCCGGCGCTTTAGCCAGGTCGATGGACACGGAGGGTTCACCTAGGGGAGTTGGAAATTCCTGATTTCAAACCAATGGTACACATGGGCTCCAGGATCCTGAGGAAACGTATGGCATACGAACCAATTATTGGTTACCGGCTACCATGGAACTGAATCACCTGACGTTGCTCCACTGCCTTGTGGATCAGACCTTTAAGTCGAAGGCTCCGGGTGTAGCTCCCTAAGAAAACCACCTGCTTCGGTCTGGACACCCGGGCAGTATCGCAGCCCACATACAAACCAAGTGACTTGTGTGGCGCATATGTATTCGGTGCTCCTTTGTACCAATGTTTGTGTGTTCAAATAAATAATTCTTGCAAAGCACACATCACAAAGCTACAAACACACAAAACCAATACGAACAGAAATGTTAACGTAAATTAATGCGGACGAACGAATGAGTGCAACTTAAGGGCCACATATCTATCAGCAAGCGAATGAGACACGAGTGATTTGATCAGCTAACATTCAAGCTGCTAAGATGGATGAATATGTGTGTAGGCTGTAACATGTGATCAAGCATACATGACCGCGTAAACATAACGATAACAATAATAATAATAAAGCAAAGATATCAACGTACTGTTACTGACTGAATGATACTGTTTGCTAAATGAGTTAATTGAAAGCCTTAATAATACTCAATATATAAAATTTAACTATAAGTGAAATACCATACTACCCGACCCTAGTTAAATGGTCTAGAGGTTAAGCGGTTGAGAGAAGGACCGAAGGTCCTGGGTTCGGTTCTCGGTGGTAGTTTCGTGAATGCAAACTGCAGAGGAGTCCCGCATTAGGGAAACGAGCAATCAGTGTTTCCAGCTTGTGAATGATTACCCAACTTACACTGGATGATGATATCAATGATTATTATTTTACGGATTGCAAGGTCATCCACAAGATCTTGATGTAGATCCCTAATTTTATAGCTGCTGTTTCGTTTATTTGGCAGTCCAGGTTTGCCAGACCAGTGAGTGTGTTTTCTGACAATGACCCTTGCTCTCATCTAATTCCCTTATTTACCTTATATTCAGTTATTTTGTTGCACAGTCGATAGAATTGGTTGACCAAATTCACAACATATATGCCGATTCAGTTTATTCCGTTGAACTTTTTCCCTATTCTCAGTCTTTTCGCCCAATTAGCTGGTTTGGTTCACGTATAGGATGATTGGGTATCACTGTCAGACTCGGACAATGTACGCCATAATATAAAATTTTAGATCCAATCTAAACAATTTACAAAAAAGAACCTACCACCATGGCAACAAAATATTTTTGAATCTACAATTGCAGCGATTGGTAAACAGTTAAAACAATCAGTGAACGTTTTCCATAATCGAACACTGAAACGCCGTTTACCTGGAAAGTTAGAAAAAACGTTTATCTTAGTCGAAATATGCAACATATTGTATCATAATCTTAAAATAGTGTTTACTGTGCTAATATATCATTTGAACCATGGATTCCACTAATTTGGAGTTTGGATAACAGGATAGTTGCATAATCAGCCATTATGCATAACAGCGTGGCACAAAGTCGAGTGGGACGAATTCTTAGAGGGCAAGCTTTTTCAAGAATTAGATTGAAAAAAAGGATTAAACTACGCTTATAGATATGATTTGAGGATGTTTGCATCGAGTATCTTCAAATGAATCATTAATAGTAACTGGTGATCCGTACTTAATTTTCTCCAGCCTAATTAACTGTCATTAATGATTGTCTTTACGATCAACTGTTTGCTACCTCTGACAACACAATGAAATTGAGCCTAATGATCGTGTATAACCTACATTTTTGGACTTAAGATCCTCAGACAAAAATAATAGCGATGGCTTATTTTACAACAGCTTTCGATCTCCCGCTCTCTCCTCATACAACTACTTAAGTTTAAGCAACCAAGCAGTACCATTGGTGCTGAGGTGTTCCAATGTATTCTTCTGAAAAGTTTACAGGGAGCCATAAGACGCTAGGAAACATTTTATCCAATCAGAGTTGAATAGGAGCCTCTCAGAAACATCTAGGAGGCGAAGAGTCATGTGCCATATTTCTGATTGGATATTTACCTGAAATTGATTGATTATAAATTCCTAACTGTTTAAGCTAATGCAGATGAACGGTCAATACAAAAAAGCATATAAAAAGGTTTTAGGTGCCGGGAATTACCATTCGTTTATGCAAAAAAGCCGATCTAGATACATCAAACCTTTGGTTATGTACATGAGCGATCTGTAAACTATATACCGGAATGTATATCGGATTCCAAAAAAACGTATATCCTCAGTGTTCTATTGATTAGTGATGCATTTCTGACTGCTTTCACACTCTAGTAGAGGGATCACTAAAATCCTTATGAGACGCTTCCTTTTCTCAACTTAACGGTGAACAACGAATAGTATTTGAGACTTGAGTAAACAGAAGATCTGCAGTTTTTGTGCTTGTCTACTAAGTTGAGACAGTCTTCAGTTGACAGTATACCAGTTAACGAAAACTAACGAAGTATAACTACTATCTATGATCACTTAGTTGAAATCCCAATTTTTAATCTATTAGTTGATAACGTCGTGAATAAAAGCCATCATATTAGACAAACCTTATTTATAGATGGTGAGTAATGTTTGATGTCTTAGTCGACCTAAATTCGGCAATAAAAATCACAGCATTTACTAACATCAAGTTAAAAAGTTTACCTGAATAATAACGTTGTACGAAATTATAAACGCGAGACTGACTTGTGAAAGATTAGCGGAAATCAGACTATGAATGATTGTAAGATGTTACAGTTTATGTTAAGCAAAAATATCTACCCAACCTAATAACAAGTGACAGATAGTAAAGACAACGTAACGACTAGAAAAATGAAAATACTGTGCGAGTACTCATTTTCGAATGTAATGAAATATATATGAACATTCTACATCAAGTAACCATTAAGAATAATCTACAAATGAAAAATGTCACTAGTCTGAAACATGACCGTAAACAGTATAAGAAACTCCCGATCGAAGCTGCTACCTTGACGCGGTGGTCGGGCTTGCCTATCCTGATGACCCAACCGAGCTATATTGGCTGGAACATATGTTCCTGCAGGTTCTACCATGCCAGGCAGGTCGATTGGTGAACGGTAAGACTAAAAGCAGCAACTCAAGGTCTGAGGGCGAAGTCGTACTGCTGACTGTAGAGGGGTGTGACAGCAGTAAGGTGTTTCCCTCGGACAACCAGCATGACAGCGATGCTGCCTTCCCACAAGGAGGGGTGGGGTTAGAAAAGGTCGACCCTAAAAATGTCACACCTCACCTTACCTCACGGATTTCCGTCTCCGGCGGTAAGGCCTTTTGAAGAACGGAGCTAACACATTAAAAACCTTCCACAAAAAGGCCGTGCGCGACCGGCCTCAAGCAGTTGTCTCTTGGGCTCTGCGGTCACGCTCCCAGGTCGTTAAGACCAACACTAATCCAATTTCCTTTTCAGGTTCCTCAAGAAAAACCCTTTCACGGTGTGGGCAGCCGGGAAGTGATATCAGCCCTCATACCCGTAACAGCACAAGAGACCAAGGTGGTCACATTCAAATCCTTCCTATACCTTCTAATACCTCTCTTATCTCCCCGACTAACCCTCCTCACGTCTCTTTATCACCTCGCACCGCTAGGGCAAACGATTCGAGTACGTGGAACGCCATTCCTGGTCTCCTGAAACCACGCTCTAAACTACACGTAGGAGCTTTTAACGTACGAACACTTTGCCAAATAGGACAGCAGGCTTCCTTCGCTAAAACTTTAGAATCTCGCGCCATCGATGTGTGCTGCGTCTCCGAAACGCGCATACAGGACTCGAGCAGCGTCATTCATCTGACTTCACCATGCCAAAATAAAGAACCGACTCGATTTACGCTTCGTGTATCTGGAAGCCCTGATTCTGCTTCCCGTGGCCTCGCCGGCGTAGGTATAGCATTGAGTCCTAGGGCAGAACTAGCTCTCTTAGAGTGGATCCCAGTAGACAGTCGTTTGTGCGCTGTCCGACTGAACGGAACAGTAAGAATCCGGAAAGATAGGGACACTTGTCGTTGCCTCTTCGTTGTCTCTGCCTATTCTCCCACTGACTGCAGCGCAGATGATGTAAAAGATGAGTTCTACAGAAAGCTTTCGGACCTTCTCCGAAAAGCTAGGCGCTCGGATGTAGTAATAGTGGCTGGTGACTTTAATGCTCAAGTAGGTAAACTAAGCGATAGGGAAAGACACCTAGGTGGATCTTATGGTGTCGTGGCTCAGAGAACAGATAATGGCGACCGTCTGTTGCAGCTATGCTCAGATAACCGCCTGTTCCTTGCAAATACTAACTTTAAACATAAGGAAAAACATCTTTTAACATGGAGACCCTCTAATTCGTCCCAACGTTGGACCCAAATAGATCACATCGCTATCAGCCACCGATGGAGAGGCTCGATAGAAGACTGTCGCTCATTCTGGAGCACATGCCTAGATTCAGATCATGCTCTAGTGCGAGCGCGTATTTGCTTGCGTCTTACTGGACGTAGGAAAGACGCTGCCATGAAACCTCTTAGGGGCCTACTTAATGATAGTCAAGCTAAGAGTATATTTCAGGAACAACTAGGAAAACAGTTAGGCAGCCATGTATGTGATGCCCACCCTGAGGCAGCATGGAATGATATCCGAAAAGCTGTGGAAGCAGCAGTGATATCTGCTAGTAAGGTAAACCAGAAGGTTAGGGAGCAACACTGGATCTCAGCAGCATCTATCTCACTGATAGATGCTCGGAAACTCATTCCACCTGGCTCTGAACATAATGAAGAGCGAAGTCAGCTTAAGCGCAAGCTGACAAGAAGTCTACGCAATGATCGCGAACAGTGGTGGGTAGCGAAAGCAAGAGAGATGGAAAAGGCAGCGGCAATAGGTAATAGCAGACAATTGTTCAGACTCGTTAAGGAAACCGGAATTAGGAACCCGACCGTTAGCGAAACAATCTCAGAGAAAGATGGACATATTATTCATTCTCAATCTAGGAGATTGGATCGATGGGCAGAACACTTTAGGGATCAGTTCAACTGGCCTTCAGCCACACTTCGGTTTCCCACGATCTCTAGTCAACCTGAATGGCAAGTTAATGTAGGTCCTCCGTCCCTTTACGAAGTTGAAAAAGCCATAGGAAATCTGAAACGAGAGCGAGCAGCAGGCCCTGACAGGTTTACTCCTGAGATTTTTAAGGATGGTGGTCCAGTATTAGCAATGAGATTAACCGAGGTCTTAGGTAGGATTTGGGAACTGGACGTAATCCCATCTGACTGGTCTCAATCACTGATTGTGCCAGTCTATAAGAAAGGACAAAAGTCCTCTTGTGACAATCACAGAGGAATCAGTTTGACTAATATAGTGTCTAAAATATTAGCTTCAATAATACTTCGACGCCTTACTAAAGCTCGTGAAGAGCAGACTAGAGAAAACCAGGCTGGTTTTCGACCTGGACGTGGTTGTATAGATCAGATATTCACACTACGTCAGGTTCTAGAACACAGACACACATTCAGACGCCCCACAATGGTAGTATTTCTCGACGTTAAGGCGGCATTCGACTCTGTTGATCGTGAGGTTCTATGGCAGTGTTTGTCACTGAAAGGAGTACCAAAGAAGTACATTAACCTTATACAGGCTCTCTACTCGAACACAACTGGTAGAGTGAGAGCTTATGGCGAACTGTCATCAGAACTGATTATCTCAAGTGGTGTTCTTCAGGGCTGTCCACTCTCCCCATTCTTGTTCAACTTTGTCATTGACGTACTTTTAGAGATAACACTCTCCTCATCTAAATTTCCAGGGGTTGAACTTTTACCGGGAGGTTCACTTGTTGACTTAGAATATGCTGATGACATAGTTTTATTTGGTGAAGACGCTGACAAAATGCAGTCTTCTGACCACTCTAAGCAACAATGCAAGCATGTTCGGGATGCGATTCTCTCCCTCGAAATGCAAAATGTTGCTTCAGGATTGGGTTACATCGACATCCGAACTAGTGATAGGGAGTGAAGTAGTTGAGTGTGTCGACCGCTTCACTTATCTTGGAAGTCTCATCAGCCCTTGTGGTTTAGTGTGTGACGAAATCTCAGCGCGGATACAGAAGGCTCGACTAGCTTTTGCCAACTTGCGTCATTTATGGCATAGGCGAGATATCCGTCTATCAACCAAAGGACGTGTTTACTGCGCAGCATTTCGTTCCGTCCTACTTTATGGCAGTGAAACATGGCCGGCAAGAGTAGAGGATATCCGTAGGCTACTAGTATTTGATCATAGGTGTCTTCGAAACATTGCTCGTATATCCTGGGACTATCGAGTAAGTAATGCAGTTGTTAGGGAACGGGTACTAGGTAAGGATGGCAAATCCATTGATGAAGTGATGAAACTTCATCAGTTGAGATGGCTGGGACACGCGTTACGTATGCCCAACCACCGACTGCCTCGACGTGCTATGTTCAGTGGTATAGGAGTAGGTTGGAAGAAAGCTAGGGGCGGCCAAACCAAAACATGGCACAAGTCCATGAAGTCACTGACAAGTGGACTGAGTCGTGTTGGTAGGTGTAGACTACCTGGTTGGGAACCGCGAGATGATAGCAACCGATGGTTAGAGACCCTGAATGACATGGCTCAAAATCGTTTGCAATGGCGCAGGTGCATCCACTCTCTGTGTTCTCCCAAATTCTAATCTTCTGAATTCTTCATGTCCCTTTTTTCCTCTTTCAAAATTTATTTCACTGGATTATACTCTTTAAATAACATCTCCAAACGCTAATCTTCCCGATTACTGCTTATACTCTTATTACCTCTACCACTACGGGATTTGAATCGACAACTGTATCTCTGTGCTAATGTGGTGTGGCAACTCGAACTGATGTACGTACGTACGAAGTTCTACGTTGTTACTGACTGACTGACTGATAACTTGACAGAAACCCCTTTAAACTCTATTGCTATCAACTTAGCAGTACTGCCAAGTTTCTCAGGGCTAAACGGAATAATGTTTTGAAGAAATTTGTTTGAAATGCCAGTAAAATCCAACTATCGATAGTCAATAAGAATAAATATTTCATGTACTATGAAAAAACTTTGGTCCTTAAACCCATAAATTGCTGCAGTTACAACATATATAAACGCTATGAAATGAGATATAACATAAATAATGCATTAAACGTCAAGGAATACAAAGTACTTATTGATCATTGTCACTTACATTCATCATAAAATCCATATATCCGATTAATAGCAGCACATTCATGATTCCCACGAAGAAGGAAAAAGTTTTCTGGATGCTTAATTTTATACGCAAGTAGAAGGCAAATAGTTTCTAAGCTCTGCTTGCCTCTGTCCACATAATCTCCAAGAAACAGGTAGTTAGATTCTGGAGGAAAACCACCGTATTCGAAAAGACGTAATAAGTCTGTGTATTGGCCGTGAATATCACCTGCGGAAATGCGCATAAACATTAATTTACAACAAACAGGTAAAACAAAAGATGTATGAATTTGTGCGTAATGAAACAAGCCAGAAATATTGTTTGCATACATGTTTACAACTGCATTTGAGAAAATTGTATCCCTGTTCCGCTTACTACGAATTAAAGTTGCAATAGTATTAATAGCTTTTCATATCTTAAAATCAACCACTTGATTGGCGTCGCACAAAATTACGAGAGCGAGACGGAATTTACCGGATGGGGATATAGCTTCCGAACTTTATATTGCTCTGACAACCCAGGACTACCATTACCGAATATTAATGCATAAAATCTACCATGATCTGCTGCCTCACTAAGATCATAGCTCGTACCTTGACTTAGTGGTCAAGCTTGTACATATATTAGAAATCTGAGTTAGTGAAAATATTTTTGAAAAATATGAGACAATGATCCAATCTCAACCCAGGAGACTAGAATGATGGGTAGACTACTTTGAAGAACAGTTTAGCTGCTGTATAGCTACCCTTGAATCGGATATCCGCATAAACCCTCCAACTCCTAAAGTAAAAAAGGCATAGCTAGTCTAAAGCGAGGAATAGCAATAAGCAATGATGGACTAGCCTCAGAGATCTTTAAGAATAGTGGTCCAGTTCTGGCTACTAGATTTACTGATATCGTAGATAGTCTGGGAACTGGACGTAATCCTACTTGGCTGACCTCGGTCGCTGGTCGTCCCAGTCCCAGATGATATAGTTGTTTGGTGAGGATGCGGAGAAAACGTGGTTTTCTAATTGCCGACAGCAACAATGGAAACATGTTTGGTATGCATTTCTCTCGCTCTAAAGGTAAAACGTTGCTTTATGACTAGTCTGCGTTAACGCTTGAATTATTTATTTATTATTATTTATTTGAACACATAAATATTGGCACAAGAGGGCACCAAATATATATGCGCCACACAAAACAATGAGAATTCGAAGAGAAAAAAACAATAACGAACAGACTAGTGTATGGTAGTGTAATAATAATAATAATAATAATAATAATAATAATAATAATAATAATAATGGGGGAAACGGAAAGGTACAATCGCAAGAAGTCTTTCAGTTAAGGAAGAAACAACCACTTTTTTATGAAGAAAGTAAAAGAAGGTTACAGCACGATCGCCACTGGCTTCTATTCTGAGCCACATCTGATAACGCCTCTAGCCACTGTGTTGCACCATCTCTAGGACCCCAGCCAGGGAGTCGTGAAGGACGAACAGAAGCCAGCTCTTTGCAGCTTTCCTTCATACCACTATACCATGTCATACACTGATCCCTCCTACGCTTTTTCCAACCAGTCCCAGAGTCGGCAAATAATGCAAGACGTGGAATTCTCTGGGACGACATTCATAGAACATGTCCAAGCCACCAAAGTCTGTTTCATGATGGCGGCACCAATTGCACTATCATCTCTGTGCCCGAACACACGATGCCGAACCTCTGCATTACTAACATGGTGTTGCCACTGAATGTCAGCAATCCTTCGGAGACAACGATGATAAAACACAGTCGTCTAATATCCTCAACTCGGAGAGGCCAAGTTTTACAAGCATAAAGCAGAACTGCTCTCACCGACGCTTTGTAGATCCGACCTTTTACAACCAGACTAACATCACGAAAGCGCCAAAGATGGCCCAGATGGGCATAAGCCGTTCTGGCTTTCACTATACGTGTATTGATCTCATCACCCACGCCACCACCAGCACTTATGCAGCTACCCAGAGACACGAACTTCTCGACTACTTCTATCTGCTCACCATCCAGGGTGAGTACAGGATTAGAATCCTGCCAGTCTTGTAGAAGTACTTTGCACTTCGAAGGTGCGAAGCACATACTTATGGACACTGATTGCCAACTGATTAAGTGCAAATTGCATGGCTTGGGCATTATCACACGGTAAGACAATATCATCCGCATACTCAAGGTCGAGAAGTCTTTCACTAGGCAACAGATCCACACCGCCATTACTTACACCCATCAGAGCTGTTTCCAGAATGTCATCGATGGCAAAGTTGAAGAGGAACGGCGAGATTGGGCAACCCTGGTCTAACCCAACTGCTTGAATGGAACAATGGAAAAAGGTGGTTGTATACCCTCACTCTACCCGAGGTGTTTGTGTATAGGGCCTTTAAGATGTTAATAAACTTCTCAGGCACACCCTTCCTCAATAGACAATCCCAGAGAACAGTCCTATCCAACGAATCGAAGGCAGCCCTGATGTCAAGAAACACTACGATTGTTGGCCTGTGATAAGTATGACGGTGTTCTATCATTTGGTGGAGGGTGAAGATATGATCAATACATCCTCGATCTGAACGAAAGCCATCCTGCTCCTCGCGAGTCAATCTTTCTCGGGTTTTGAACAACCTACGAAGTATGACGGAAGCCAATAGCTTGAACGCAATCGGAAGTAGACTTATCCCCCGATAGTTGTTACAGGAACGACGTGAACACTTTTTAAAGATAGGGACAACTATCGACTCATTCCATGACGTTGGTACTCTCTCTAGCTCCCAGACCTTTGTAAACAACGTCGTCAGTTCATTAGCTAAAAAGTCACCACCATCTTTAAAAAGGGCCTGAGGTAAGTCATCTGGGCCCGGTGATTTGCAGCGTTTCAAGAGTTGGAGTTCCTTGCGGACTTCCGCTCATTAGCACGCTTCGACCACCAGGCTTCTTGGTCCTTACGCAAGCTTTGCCCGATTTCATTACGTAACAACCTTCGTTTATGGTCAAACTCACGGTCACCCGGAGTAGACCGACGGGCTTCAATGAGTTGTAAGGAACCAGAAGAAACCCAGTGCTTAAAAGCGGGACGTTTCGCAAACCCACAACTGACTGTTCCCGCCATTTTCATGGCGTCATGCAATTGCAACCAATGCTCATCTATACTTTTCGGTGGAATGGTAGCTAGCCTAGAGGCTAGCTCTGTTCGATACTTACTTGCAACAGAAGTTGCAACCAGCTTGCTAATATCAATCCGTTGATGGCGGTCACTTCGTTGGCCACCGAGAAGGTAAGATTGGCGCAGACCAAGGCATGATCAGAGTCCAGATAGGTACTCCGAAAGTAGCCCCAGTCTTGTACCCAACCACGCCAGCGGTAGCTGATCTCAATGTGATCAATCTGAGTCCAGGCTTGAGATGCAGATGGAGGACACCAGGTGTCACATCGGCGATTACTGTGCCGAAAGTCAGTGCTAGCCAGAAACAGGTTGTGGTCTGTGCACAGTTGCAGTAGACGGTCCCCATTATCTGTCGTGCGACCAACAAGTCTCCATCGGCCACCTAAACAACTCTCTTCTGTGCCTAGACGTCCGACCAGAGCACTCAAGTCTCCGGCTAGTCCTACAATATCTGTCGAAAGCACTTTCTGGAGAACAACAGTTAACTGGTGGTAGAATTTATCCTTGATTGCGTCCGGGCTGCAATCTGTTGGGGCATAGGTGGAGATGACGAAAAGACATTGTTTCTCACCCCGATTTCTTCTTACTTTGATGGAGCTTTCTAATCTAACAACACATAACCGACTGTTAATGGGGATCCAATCGATTAGTGCTGCTTCAGCTCAAGCGCTTAGTGCGACACCAACGCCAGCAAGACCAGACGAAGTTTCCACAGGGTCCCCGGATAAACGCGCGTAAAACAAGCTTTTTGAAGCGACAGATGGAGAGCGAATTCGTAGTACTTCATCAGAGTCTTGAATACGGGTCTCGGATAGACAACAAACATCGATATTAAGACTTTCCAAAGATATAGCCAGCCCTATCTGTTGTCCGACCTGCATAAGTGTGCGAACGTTGAAGGCAGTCAGTTTGAATGGCGTACGTTGTTTCAGAAAAGCTGCTTCAGTATTCGTATTTGGTGGTAGCATACAATTTTCAACCAGGCAGTGACTCGAGGACGTTTAGATAGAACCGAGTTTCCACCATAGTCGAGCTGCTGTATAAGTCGAAAAATAAGGATACATAAAGTGGGAATAAAAGGGATTGAATAAATGACGTAGTAAATAATAATAATAATAATAATAATAATAATAATAATAATAATAATATGAATTGTTTGACTGTAAATCGAAGCGGAAATAGAGTTTTCAGTGAATACCATCATTTTCATTATCATTATATTTGTGTGTGGACTGTGATACTGCCCGGGTGCCCAAACCGAACCAATTGGTTTTCTTAGGGGGCCTCACTCGGAGCCTTTGACCTAAAGGTCTGACCCACAAGGCAGTGGAGCATCGTGAGTAGATGCAACTCCATGGTAGCCGGTGACCAACGATTGGTTCATACGCCATTTGTTTCCTCAGGATACTGGAGCCCATGTGCACTATTGGTTTGCGATCCAGTTAAAGCACCGGACATTCGCTTTTCATCCTCTAATTTTCGTAAACAACACCCCTGCCACGAGAAGGCAATGAGTAGGACTTCCCTGGCAGAGGCTGCATACGCGTGGCCGTGTGAGAGCATTTCGAGAGGAAGGACGGGCCCACCCCTCTCGGTCATACCAGGGGATTTGGGAGCCCTTGAATTAATGAGCCATAACAACCTAATGGACTGGTGTCTGACGAAATATTGAGACCAACTTAGGAAGTCCGGTTGGCTTGTACTAACTTACATCACGTTTGACATAGGCGAGGTTTGTCTGACAACCAAAGGGCTAGTTGTCATGAAGCAGTCCGCTCCATTCAATTGTATGGCCATGAAATACGGTTTTTAAAAATGGAGTATATTCGTAAATTACTAGTATTCCATCACGGGTGTTTTCGAGCCTTTGCTCGTATGTTTTGAGACCATCAAGTTAGCAATTCTGAGGTCAGACGCAGAGTATTGAATAAATACGAGAAACTGTTTGGCAAGGTCGTGAATCCTTGTTGACTGAGATGGTTGGGACATGTGTTTCGTTTTTTCCTCCACTACCTACCCCACACACGCTATGATAGCTGGTAGAATAGGTTAGAACCAAGACATTATTCCAAGGCATAAGTCCATGAAGACAGAAACTACTACCACTTCTACTCTGGAATTCATCTCACGGTGCCAATGAGGCATGGGAACTTGAGTTGATTTACACAGGTGCCAGGTTCCATATAGCGTATGACTGGCTAACTGGCAGTCAGATGAAGTTTGGACTAACGGGAAAATGAAAGTGCGCCATTGGAAAAAATATTGTCTAGTTTAGGAAATACAGACCTACGGGGAAACAATGTAAAACTGATTGTGAAGAACTATCTGTTAATAATAAATGCCACTACATATCTTCATATTACGCTCACAAACGTGGAGACACGTAGACGGAGATGGATCTTGCTGAAATGTTATTCCTACTAAAAACATAATCAAAACCTCCGAACCTGCTATATCAATGGGACGTGTAAAATATGGACAAATCTAGGTTATCGAAATTCGCGGAGTTGAGTTCTTCCAACCAAGCCGATATGGTGTTCAGAACAAAGCATAACGATTTATTAGTTCACTATTAACATAATAATTAGGTAATTCGTTACATTCATTAAACCAATGATAGTAAGCTTTGAACAATACATAAAACAGGGCGAAGAGTAAAATAAAACAGTTCAGAACTCTTGAGTAAAATACATTGATATGGGGGTTTAACTAAGACCTTGGAATATGCACTTGTTAAATCAGTTATGGACTAAAATTGACATAATGTAATGGAAATGAGCGATCAAAGAATGCCGAAACACCGAACACTTACAATCGATGCTTGACCTGAATTAAGTTATGCAATCAACCATGAGAATCATAAGGGGAGATAAGAGATACTCAAAATAATGACGGTTGTAATGAGTCATAGATCATAATTTATTGCGAAGTAGTTGGTTTGGACAGAGTGGTTTCATAACTGCTAAGACTCCCTACCGAAAAACTTACCGCAAATTTTCAAAGGAGCTTGTAATTCCAACAGAATAGGTTGTGATAAGAAAATTTGTCGTGAAGTAACACATAGATATCGGACTTCTTCTTCCTTCATATTTACAGTAGTCCCAGGTCTGGATGATCGGACTGAACGTGAAATGAGGATGCTCAAGAGAACTTACCCTCCAGAAGCCTACTAATAAGCTCATCTACGTCTACTTCTGATGTCATAAATAGAGAAATACTACAAGAAGAAAACTTTTAAAACCCCTGGAGTCCCGCAAACTAAGGTCACAACATAATCGACACGATTAAAAGAAACAGTAACGGAAAAAGTATTGTAAACTAGAACACGTCAAACCAAAACGATATTTTTCGCTTTGAAAATACTCATAATAAATTTCATAGCACTAATATAAACTGGATAATGAAAGAACGGGAAACCATCCCACCTTCAATCAAACATCATTACCCCATCATTATTCTAAAAATTTAGAAGGCACATGTATATAGTTCATGCTAACTTTGGTCTGAGTCAGTTGCGTCCAAATAACCAGACATTAACAGGTTAATAGCATAAACATAAGAAACTAGTATAACTGATAAAACCCACCCACGGATACCAATATTCTTCTTCAGACTTTTGTTAGTGTCCATGAACTGATACTGCTTAAGAAAACAGTCACACGACTAGAAGAATTCAGTACTTGACAAGAATTAGGAATATCTTTGAGATGACGATTCTACTAGTCGAACTAACATAGTCCTAATCTTCAGAAGACGGTTATCCTAGTTTTTGGCGGGTGATTTATGGATTTTGGATACTACCAAAGTCTTAGGACGAAAAGTCCTAATCAAGCACATAGCCAATCATGCCGTTTCCTAGTACTCAAAACTATTCAGCAACGAATCCTCTATCTGTAGTCAACGATGTTATGCATCACTATCACAACGTGTGCACTCGTGAAAATACAGCTTCAAGAACTTTAAATAAAAATGACAGTCGATATGCTTTCGCGATAGATTCGAAGATTACCAGACGCCTGAACGATCCTCCAGAATACATTCTCTATTGGTTGACAGTACTGATAACGATGGAAAGTGTATATCTGGCCACCGTTAACGATTATAAACGTATAGAAATCCATGAGGTTATTAGTTTCCCTACATTTATGACGTAATTGTCATTAGGGAAGTTTTCAACAATATCTTCAAAAAAATCTTGACTCAGCTGGCTTCAAGTCCTTATAACTGTGGAAGATATTTCAGGAATTTTCAAATTAGAAACTATAGTTTCTCAAAATTCAATTTACTAGTGAGACTTAGTAATGTGGCTCGGATCTCTCACTGTTTTATCAGTAATATATTCGGAATCCTTATTTTTTCTTCGTGCATACCTTGCCAATTTCTTTGTTGCAGGTTTGTGGGAATACTAGCATCTCTATCTGAATTTTTTGATTCCTCAAACGTAAAAACTAAAATCTTACTATGAAATATCGAATTGTCTGAATGAGTCAACTTGCACGGTTTCTTCAGACAGAATACAGACGCCTAGGTTAGTTATCTACTAGAAGACCAAGAAAGAAATGGTGTGGTAAATTTTAAATGAGGTGGTGATATCAGTTGTCATAAATTGCGTAGGCCATAATGGTACTGACCATGTCGTGTCTAGCAAGGGTAGTGTTGAAGATGGCGCAGGTGTTCAGTGTTTGACAACGCTTCTACCAGTAACACCTTCTAATATAATTCGTAACCACCCAGCGAAACCAAAAGACAGGGTCGAGGAGATCGGAAGAGTGTATTTGGCGATAACCAATATATCGGAATTCTCTGATCTAATCTGGCTAGCGATTGAGGTTGATGTTGAGCGTTACCACACGTTATCTGGTGCGGATGCCTAACCGAGCGCCTTCAGCTAGATGAGTCCACTAAAACATATGGTCAGCATCCAATGTCGAAAACTTACAGGGCTATTTATTTTGGGGATTTATTCACCGCTACAGGTCACTCCCCTCTAGTGGGTTAGTGATGACCCTAAGACGTGGCCAGCCAGAAGTTTAAACCCAGCGAGTTTGTCGTTGGTAAACACTCTTCTGATAGCTTGCTAGGATTAGCAGCGTCTGGTCGTCTTTCCTTACTATATGGGACCGAGGTACAACATAATAAAAAAAGGAAATGTACAATGAAAATTTCAGCTCCTCATAAACGTCATCGTTCTTTTCCAGCCGTCCTGGAAAAGAAAAAAGAGAATGTAAGTGCATGTCGAAATACACTCGTATGTGCGTAAAAACACAATGTCGGCGAAAAAATTGGAATATAAACTAATTTACACGTGATATCGTTGAAAAGATTTATAATGTTTTTTTTGTTTTTTTTGGAATAAAAATATATAAGCATATTAAAAATGTTTTTTTTTCAAAAACACATTATATATCGTAAAAAGAAAGATCGAGATAATACTAAATGTCTAGTAGTGCCTTACGTGCAATAGGCGTTTAAATGTTCTGGAAATCTAACTATTCTTCCAGAACTCGTCGTTTTAAGTTTATTTTCAGATACATTCGGAGTAACATCACGTGTGTTGGTTGTCGATTGAGGAATTATGAGTGGAGTCGTGTCGTTCGATTGTACCGAAGGAAAATCCACGTAGATAGGATTTCCTTCTAAATACGCTGCTTTTAAGCGATCGATGCTGATGCTATCGTTGGTTCCGTTCTTATCGATTTGATAGTACTTCGGTTCGCGTTGAAGAACTTTGAAAGGTCCTTCGTATGCTGATTCGAAAGGTCGTCGATGCGAGTCTCGACGAACGAAAACGTGTGTACTATATTGTAAGTCAGATTGAACGAAAACGTCGGTTGATTGGGATCGAGTGGAAGCAGGTTTAACTGAACGCATTGCGTTTGTAAGCCTGTTTGTGTAGGAGGTTAGATCCATGTTCATTGAAGAGGACGAAGTATCCACGAATTCTCCTGGAAGTTGAAGTGTCGTTCCATAAACGAGTTGAGCCGCAGTGTATCCAATGTCAGCTTTCACTGTATTGCGGATACCTAGTAAGTCGAGTAGAAGAGCGTCGGTCCACTGTGAAACGTTTGCAGCTGAAAGTGAAGCTTTTAGTTGTCAGTGAGAGCATTCTACCAACCCGTTTGCTTGTGGATGGTAGGTGGTCGTTCGGAAGCGAGTGATGGTTGAAGGGCAGCCGAAGTTTGCTACCCATCGTACGACGAAGGCGCGAGCCACTGTTTCGGCAGTGATGTCCTTGATAGGTACTGCTTCTGGCCATCGAGTGAAACAGTCTACGCAGGTTAAGAGGTAAGAGTATCCATTTGAATCTGGTAAAGGTCCTACCAAATCCAGATGAACATGGTCGAGACGAGCATCTGGAGTTTTAAGTGAGCCTAAGGGACATTTATTGTGTCCGATGACCTTAGACTTTTGGCAGCTCACACAGGAGCGTGCCCACTCCCTCACGTCTTTATTCATGCCAGGCCAGCAGAACCGTTCTGCTGTAAGCTTGATGGTTGCACGAACACCTGGATAAGAAAGTTTGTGCAATGTGTTGAAGACATTGCGTCGATAACGTTTCGGCACGATTGGGCGATCCCTACCTGTAGATGTGTCACACAGTAAGGTTTCCTTACCTGTTCCCATCTGTTTGATACGTAACTTGAGGGTTGTGGATGATAACTCGTGCTGAAGATCAGTGTCTTCTTTTTGAAGCTCGGCGAGTTTAAGAAGGTCGATTCCTTGGAACCTGTTCAAGGAAGTTATCCGAGATAAGGCGTCTGCAACTACATTGTTTGCTCCAGAAATATGTTGAATGTCTGAAGTAAACTGCGCAATGTAGTCCAGTTGTCGAGACTCACGGGGAGAGTACTTGTCTGAAGGAGAGCTTAGAGAGTATGTGAGTGGTTTATGGTCGGTGAAAAGAGTGAATTCACGACCTTCGATGTAGTGTTGAAAATGTCGTACAGCACAATACATAGCTAGGAGTTCCCTACCGAATGTGCCGTACCTCTATTCGGTGTCTAGCAACCTTCTAGAGAAAAATGCCAATGGTTGCCGTTAAACGTTCGTAATTGTTTGACGTTGGTCGGTTCTAGGTAATCCAAAATGGCCGCCACTTTGGTTCTAAGCGGTCGAATGCCTTGAGCATCTATAGTGTGTCCTAGGAAGTTTAATGAGTCGGTTCCGAATTGGCATTTCTGAACGTTTACAGTAATGCCATGTTTTTGTAGTCGTTCGAAAACAAGATCCAGATGCTTGAGATGTGTTTTTCTGCCCGGACTTGCGATTAGGCAGTCGTCAACATACGCATGTACGAAGTTGAGACCTCGAAAAACGTCGTCTCTGAATCTTTGGAATGTTTGAGCCGCGTTCCTTAAACCGAAAGGCATTCGCAAAAATTCGTAGAGTTCGAAGGGAATAATGATAGCAGTTTTCGCTATATTGTCTGTAGCTATAGGGATTTGGTTATACGCTTTAACCAAGTCGATTCTCGAAAAGACAGTTGTACCTTTCAAGGTAGCTGTCAAATCGTGAATGTGAGGCAACGGGTAACGATCGGGAATGGTTTTCGCATTCAATCGCCGATAGTCACCAGTTGGACGCCAATCGTTGCTGTCCTTTTTAGGGACCATGTGCAACGGAGATGCATATGGGCTATTTTACGGTCGTATGATTCCTAAGTCTATCATATGGTGGAACTCGTTTTTCGCTAACCTTAGCTTTTCAGGAGCTAGTCGTCGTGCTTTAGAGAATACAGGTGGTCCTGTAGTCGTGATGTGATGTGTAACGTTGCTGGTTACGATTACGGTCGTTACAAAGATTAAGATAACGCGTGAGTGTATGACATAACTCGGTTATGTCATTCTGAGTTGTGTGAGGCTTTTCTTTGACTGAAAATACCTCGGTAGTAGATTTTGTAATTTCTAAGATACGATCAGCAGATGCAGCTAGTTCGTCTAAGGCGTTGTTCTGAAACGAAACCAGAACCGCTTGCACCTGTTGGGGAAGTTTAGACAAGAAGATTTGTTTCAATAGACCTTCTTCGAAAGTTCTTGGGCCTATAACCTCTCTCATCCTTTGCAACATGTCTGTCGCAGAACCGTGCTGCAGGTCTATGTTATTAAGGAGTTGATCTAACCTTTGTCGATCGGTTAGATCTCCTCGTTTAAGAATCGAACGTTTTAAGGTTTCGTAAGGTTCAGAAACATCACTAGTAAACATAC